ATATAAATATATAAGTATCTATATCCTTAAAAGCTCAATAATACTGACATTTGCAATAGCTATGTCTACAAGCAGGCAGAAGTAGAGGCAGGTTTCTACAGATGCAAACCCCAATATTTTATCATGGATTTCTTGGTTTAAGGTTTATGTAGAATTAGAATTTTGCAAACAGCCATTGTTTTGGTTAACCTGCCATGCATGCTTGGGTTTTCTAACTGTGCTCTTCTGGCTTGTAATTAGAAATACTTCCTAGGACCACTCCACAGCTGAAATAATTGTATAGTGAGGAGCTGAGCTGCCTAATTTCTAACTAATTCTCTGCCGTATGTTCTTTATTCAACTACAGACTAAATCTAAAGCTTATATTCAGCATAAAAAAGAAATCGGAAAAATTGAGCTTGCCCCTTCTACCTGTTAACCTGAAGAAACTTTATAGTTGGGATTCCCCAAATGTGGTTTTATTAAAACCTTAAGTTGTATCTGGCTTTTCTTCATTGAAAAAATAGATCTGTACATCCTTCTTTAATTACCAAGTACCTGAAGGTTACAAATTATTATTTTTGCTTTACACGTGTTCTTCACAGCACAAGCGTGAGGTGCTAAGAATAAAGTAAAAATCAATGAATTCAGTCGCAGGTAAGAAAATACAAGGTTATCCTTGGTTAGAAGAGAGAGATCAACTGTGCTTTTCCATTTCACTGCAGATTATAGCAAGAGCACACATCTCGAAGGATCCAGTAGCAGCAGACACCGAGCAGCAAGGATTCTCACGATCAGGTATAACTCGGGGCTGCACTGCTGTACAGAGCATCGGTAAACCATGCAGACCAGGTGAGTCATGCAGCACATTATGATCTGTAGTCCTTCTTGCTGTAGGGCTTATTTCCCAGAATATTATCTATTTCATTTACAATATGGGATGTCATCTTTGGAAGGACCTAAGGGTAGAAGAGAACGAGTGTTTAACCAAGCTTCCACTAAAGACTTTTTCAAATTTAAATCTAGATTTCATCAGATAACATTTTCTCTAGGTTTTTTTGTGTGACAGATATTTAAACATTCATCTAATACCTTTCACCATTAAAATAAAAAACTACTGTAATATCTTTACCCAGTGAGAGAATCACAGAAGCACTCCTAAGCTTTATATGCATAATATTGCTCGGCTGCAGTGAAAAGTGACCCAGGGGCAAGAACATCAGAGGAAGTTCTTGTTTGTGGAAAGCAACAGAGAATAATTAAGGTGGGTGCAAGCGACACATGTCCTGCGGGAGATGAGTGCAGAATATATCACAACATGTCCTGGAAACGGGGTGCTTGCTTTTTCAGATAAAATAAATCTGCTGATACCACCCCCATGGTGCTGGATGCCACCCCCCCAGCTCTGCTGAGGTGCCACCACCACCTGCACTTGCCTGTATGGCTCCAAGGTTCTCTATCAGCTGCTCGGGGTTGGAGGATCCCAGGAGAACAGAGCTCACCCCCTCGTTTCTCAGGCACCATGCTGGAAACAAAGGCACTGGATGGTCAGGAACAGAGGCTTCACAACACAGTGTTACTCCAGATCCTAAAGTTTGCCAGAGCTTCTATCTCTATTTGAAAAATAGTGGCAGCATTATTTGTCTCAACCTTCCCTTTACTCCTCCAGCACTACCAGGAAGACGCATGGATCAGTTAAACCATATAAAACATCTTAGAGCATCCGGCCTGCCCCTGGACCCAGGCCCAGCAGTTGTTGTAATTGCAGAATTGGGTTTTTCTCTATCACAAATCCCACTGATTCACTCAGTGACACAGGCAGGTTGGGGTTGGACCCACACAGACAGCCCAAGACCCACTATCCCTCTTGTCAGTCAAAGCCTGATGATGATGCTGGAAACAATATTATTTTAAGTAATTTTTAACTTTACTAATTAAAAAAAAAGGCCAGAATGTTAATTTGTTTGAGTCTAACAGAGCAGGGGTTACCTCCAAAGCAATACATGGCATTTTAATGTCCCTACAGCGAGTTTTGCTTTGTTATTTTATTGTGATCCTTGAAATGCATTAGCCATCTCCTAATGAGGTTTTGCATTGCCCATCTCCAGCCTTTCTGTGTCCTGACATTTTATTCCCTAACCCCTGATCGTAAATAACCATTTAAATATTTTAAATAAAGCTTTTCTGTCTGCTCTTCGCGCTATGAGGGCATGAGCCAGGTGCTGCCTTTGTGACAAGGCCGAATGCATGGTGATGCCCATCCCCTACCGACGGCCAGCTGTGGCAGGGTGCAGCCCAGGCGCTCGGCGATGGGTGTCAGGTCCTTCAGCTTCCCCTGCTGCTTTCGGCCTTCCTCACTCACGATTTTCTCTTTCAGCCACTGGTAGCACTGGAGAGGAATTACATTGACTGTTAGCTCTGGTCTTCCATGGTGGAAAAGGTTAAGGCAATTATTAACAGATCTTAAAAAGCCACATTCGAGCCAGGAAGTACCAATAGTAACACAGTTATGACAGGACAGGGATGTCTCCTGTGAGATCCCACATCTGCATCTCTCTGGCTTTATGCAACTATGGACTCAGTCTGGAACTGTCTCAGATTTATTTTTGGACCACTGGATTCCATCAGAGTGGGAAAAGAGAAATACTACTAAACTTGAGATTTTGATGCCCCAGCACCCCCAAAAAAACCAAATTGAGAACATCTGATCTTGTTCAAGCTTAGAAAACTCTTGTTCAAGCTTTACTGTTCAAGACTAGAAAATTAATTAAACAAAGCTGAGATTTCTGTTCTCCCAGCTCCAAACTTAAAGCTTGATTCTGCTTCACTCCCATCCATTTAATTTGGATCCCTCCCTGCGATGCTACCTGCTTAGCTAGCTTTTACCACACGTTAACAACACCTTTTATTTTTGAAAAAAAATCCCAAATACAACAAAATACCACATCTGAAAACGCTGCTGCCTCTCAACCAGCTCCCAGCCGTCAGCTCGCTGTGGTGGGGAGCATGGAGCATCTTTATAACCCAGATTCTCCTGCACTTTGGAGCGTGGTTGCCAGAGAAACCGAGCTGATCCATCAATACAGCAGCGCACAGGGCAGCCTCGCTCATCAGGAATCCATTTTCCATTTGTTATTCCTCTGCCTTCACACAAGCAACACATCCACTCTTCTCCAACTTGCAACAGCAACAAAATTACCTTTAGCGCAGCCCTTGAGCTTTCAGGGACCCCATTGTCGTATTTCCCTGAGATGATCCCGCAGGCGAGTGGAGACCACGTCATCGCTCCCACCCCTGCCAAAAGACCAGGTAAAGACATTTTAGGGGAGAAATTATAGATTCACAGAATGGTTTGGGATGGAAGGGACCTTGAAGAGCATCTGGTCCAACCCTTCCATGGGCAGGGACACCTCCACTAGCCCAGGTTGCTCAAAGCTCTGTCCAGCCTGGCCTTGGGCATTGCCAGGAAGGGGACACTCACAGCCTCTCTGGGCAACCTGGGCCAAGGCCTCCCCACCCTCACAGTAAAGAATTTCTTTCCAATATCCAATCTAAATCTCCCCTCTTTCAGTGCTCCATATTTCTTTCTACAAATGAAACAGCCCAAAGGCACAGCAGGTCTGGGTCTTACCTATTTTATGATATAATTCAGGCAGCTGAACCTCTACTTTCTCTCTCTGGAAAAGGTGGTATTCGGCTTGCTCGCACACAGGTGGTATCATGTTAAACTGCCTGGCTACAGAGTAGGCTTCCTGGGGAAAGGAAATAGGTAGGTAAAATAATTAAGTCAAAGCTAAAATACTTTACTAAGTCAAAGCATCTTGCAGGCACAGGCACTTTACCAAAAGTATTCAAGTCAGCCAAATAAATAAAAAATAAAACAAACCCCAACTAAATGAGCCAAGACACCCAACCCACCAGTCAGTCCATCTTCTCCTAATTACTGGCCTCATTCTGGAACTGGTTTCTAAGTTATTTTGGGTGAAAAGCAGCTGGATGGAGTAAAACACGAACATCCCCAGCCCAGACACATGCTTGCAGTTCAGCTCCCAGCGTGGCTTTCTGGAAGCTGAATTACCAAGTGTCAACACTTTCTGAAAAATTGACTTTACCATGATCTCCATCGCGCTCCAGCGTGACGTTCCCCAGTACATTGCCATGCCTTGATTTATTACGTGTGTCATCGCTCGGACGATTTCTAAATAAAAATTTTAAAAAAGAAAAAAGTATGAGAACTGTATAGAGGACATTTTTTCAGCATCAAATCCTCCCCAAGCCACTTTTAATTGCCAAGTGCACCAACAAGGCTGAGCAGCTTTGCATTAAACACAGCTCCTGCTGTGTTCTGACACAAGCATGGATGAATAAAATGTCGGCAGCACAAATGTAAAGACATTTATCCTCTTCCTGCAGTTGTTTAAAAACTGCTTTTACCAGCTGGTTATTGCCTACCACCACATTATGATAATATTTCTTTTAAAAGGCAACACAAGAGGGCAGCACAGTTGAAAAATAAACTAAAAAAATTAAATTTCTTTTTTATTTTGTTTACTAAAAGCATGTATTTGGCCCTGCTTTTTACTAGAAATAGGAGGATGCTGAGGATAAAGCTGCAGAAGTGGACGATTGCACCTCACTCCACCAATTGAACCACTGCCCGTGGGTTGAACCTCCTGCAAAACTCTTTATGCAGGGGTCCCGTGGGCCTCAGAGATGGAAACTTGCAAGGCTACAGGAGAAGATCTTTCATTTCCATCTATAACCACCTGCTGAGCAGCCCTGATTCATCTGTCGGGGGAAAAAAACATCCTAAACTTTTTTGTTTGCAAGAAAAAGACATCCCTGGGGACACAGTCCTGGCCAGGAACCATAATATCATACAGAGAATTGGCCCAGTGTCATAAAGTCATATTTCTTACTGAGCTTCAGCACTCCCTGCCCTTCAGAGCCGAGCACTATGCTGGCTGCTAACAGTGCAGCATTCAAACTGGAAAAAATGGGCAAAATTTGCTCTGAAAAGCAAAAAATCCCAGCAGTCACTGGTGCTGCCAGGTCTTTTCCCTAGGGAAAGCAACAAGGAACTAATAACTTGCAGTGACACTGTGAATTTCTATAAAATTTTCTGTAACTGCTATTTCTTTTTTTCCATTTTCCTATTTATAAAGGCAGATGAGCTGCCTTCTGTATCATGAGGAGTCTCGTCCTATTTATGGAAAAGAAAAGGATCTTGGCAGAGGGGAACTGCCACTGCCAGTCTTCACATGGGGGTGAGATCCCTTCTGCAGGCAGTGACAAGCGGCTCACGACAAATTGTCCATTTATAACCAGGCGGGGCTGCACAGGTGCCACCGCGCTCCTGCCGACCCTTCAGAAAAGCAGATTTTGTTTCTAAGAAAACACCTTGGCTTAAATTTTTTCCTCAATAAAAAGTAGACTTCAAATGCCAGATACTGTTTTCTTTTTTTCTTAATTTTTGGCCAAAGACATATTTTTTCTCTATTTTCTCTGTTTCTCTAAATATTTTATTCTTGGGCCCACACTAAATGCCCTGTTAATACACAGGAACCCCTTCAACCCATCCCTCCCTCCTCAGCAGCGCCCACTTCTCCCTGGGTTTAGTTTTCTGGTTTTTGCCACATTTAAGAATTTTGATGAGTATTTCATCATATGCCTCTTACATACTGCAGCCCAGGGATGTTTTCATTTCTCCCACCTCTACTCCTTTCAAGAAAAACTGAAGTCAACTCAGAGAAGCAAAGAAATAAAAAGAGATATATTTATATATATATAACCTTTTATATATATATATGTATATAAATTATATATAAATATCTGTGTTTCCAAGAGCCTGCTCCCATGGGTATGGTGACGGTATGGTTTGTGTCTGGATTGCTCACTCTGCCAGCTGGATGGGACAAATGGCATCACTTAAGAAGGGGGCATTTTTAAAAAAATATAATCAAATGTTTCAAACCCCAGAAAACAGCCTCCAGCAGCAGAATAATAATAGTAATAATTTTGAAGTCACTTGAAGTTCCCTGGCAGGAGCCATCAGACCTAACCACAGGGCGATGCAAAGAGCTTGGTGTGGGGAACTCATCTCCAGATGCTCCTTGGAGCCAATATTGCATCGCTTTCACAACAAAAACCTTTCTTTGCTCTGAGACTTTTGAGAAAGGCAAACACGTTTCAGGCATTTTAGATGAAGCAAGCTTCTCTTGCTGCTTTGGGAACTAGAGTCACCTACAATAAATAAATCTGTTAAACGCTCATCTTCTCTTATTAGATCTCCTCTACCCGTGCCTCTGAATGCGGCCTGAGCTGAGCCTGGGGGAGCAGAGCTCTGGCTGGGGTGAGCAGATGAGTATTGATAAATATGAATATATAAGAATATGAATATACAGATTTAAATCTGTGCCCCAAGTTACACACAGCACAGCAGATGGAGGACCCCGAGGGAGAGCAGAGAAGCCTCACCTGCCTGCACACAGCAAGCAAAGAAAACAAAATTAACATTTTAGATTTATTTGGCTGTACCTTACAGCACAAAACCGCTTTGATCGCTGAAGCGGGACACTCATGTGTCCGCACGAGTCACTCAAGCAGGGGATGTTTTAAGGCTTCTTACGAATTGCTCTCCATCGGAAGCGGCTATTTGCCCGCAGGAAAAGCTATGGTTGGTCTTAATGGTAGCATTGGGCTCAACGATCTTAAAGGTCTTTTCCAAGCAAATGAGTTTGAGAAAATGCAGGCCCACATAAGGAGAGGGGATGGGGAGTCTTGAAGGCAGCGTATCGCTTGCTGTGCACGCCAGCTCGTGCAGAACTGACAGATGGCTCAGCAGATGCTCTGCGATGGAAGTGGCTTAGTAGGTGAACCATAAAAAAAAGCACGAAGTACAGTGGAAAAAAAACCAGCACCACACCATTCATAATAAAAAAATGTCCTTCTTTTCACCCCGCTCAAAAAAATCTCACTGAGCACCACAGTTGATACCTCCTTGGCACACTCCGGCGCTGCTGACGGTACCTGTAGCATCCTAAAAGCTGTGAACGCCTGCAATGGGCTGTGCCACACGGCTGGGAAGCATATCCCCCCCTGTCTGGTTGGATGGGAGCTGACTGAGCAGGGAGGTCACTCCTGCCTCTGGGGTACAGCATCATCCTCAACTGCATCAGCTCCTGCGAAATCCTCACTGCTCCACAAATCCCAGAGTGCTTCCCTGAACCCATCACTGCCAGCCCTGGGTTCATGCCGGGTCACACAGCCACACGTTCATTAAGAAAAGAGAAAAAAGAGGCGTCATGGCCACTGAAAGCCGAAGCAGGAGCTTCGGAGGGGGCTGTGGAGCCCCAGGTTGGTTTGATTTACATGTACTCATCCATGACAGCTCCTGCAGCCTGCGAGGCTTCCTTCTTGCTATTTTTTATTTAGCTGTGAAGCAAATCTTCTGCCGTGGTGTGAATGGTTGTGTGAGCTCTCAGGGGAAACAAGAAATGGGAACTGGTGCCCATTAAGTAGGGCGCTAACCCCAAAACTCAGCAATGAAGGTTTCTGGGCAACTGGGCCACACCACCATGTACCAAATGCTAATTTATGGTTGTCAGCAATTAGGAAATGTAATTAAAGTGCACAGATATTGCAAGTTCCTGAAGTTTAACAGCCTGGATTTAACAAGGACTGTTTTCCTGCAAGACTGACCCTGGGCACAGCGTTGCTGCTCCCCGGGCCTGGGGGACCCTGCTGCACCCTAGGTACAAGGATGGGGATGGCAGTGCTGGCACAGTCTCCTCTCCAGAGCTGGCTGCACCAGGTTAGGGACAGACACGTTTCATTTGAGAGACTGGTCTTAAATACAAACACAAATTCACTTTATCCAAAGGAATTACAAAAAGGAAATAAAACCCCCAACAATGTTAAAGCCATCACTGGGACATAAAGGAAACTTCCATTTCCTTTCAAGAGATACAAATTCATGCCATTGAAATGTAAATATATAGGGTTCCAGGATATCACAAATAAGTTATTTCATATTTGAGCTGCCAGGCTTGGATATTTAATAAAAATTTGGTTTTCATTTCCTGCCATCGCTCAATCCATTAACCGGGCTCAATCCCATTAAATCCGTTAGTCCAGGCTCCCCTCACCTTCCATGGGTGTGTTGTTGTCCGGGCGGTTGGCGAAGACAACATCCACATACTCCAGCTGCAGCCGCTGCAGAGATGCCTTCAGCCCTGTGGACGGCAGAGAGATGGGCCCCAATCCGTGTCAGCAAAAACAGAGCTCCCTTATATCCATACACACTATATACACAACCATACGTGAAGGATACACTGTGCTGCATAATGCTGTCCCACATCTACACAGCCATATTAAAAACCCCACCAATTTGGCTGCATGCAGAGTCCCCTCTTCGATGAAAATTGGTTTTATTTTGTAATCAGGCTGAGTTTTGCATTGGAACAGACATGGAGTACAAAGCTGCCACAGCTCAAATGCAGTGTTTCTGCTAACTCCACATCGTTCAGAGTTAATTTAAACTAAATCACATCCCTGCCCCTGTCTGCACATGGCATTGGGCAGAAAAGAGTTTTCCAGAGCAAAAGCAGGCGCCATGTTGCAGCTGCAGTTCAGGACTGCCAGGGGCTCCCACAGCTTCTCCATGGGGATCTGATGGGGAATGGGATCAAAAGCCCACATTGATGTATATGATATATATGATATGATATGTACATATGTGCATATGAGAGAGAGAGAATTTCTGACACTTATTTTGTATGAGTCTTCCCGGGAACAAAATGTTTTTCTGAATGTTCAGAAAGAATGAGCTAAAATAAAGCAGTCTGAAAATGTTCGCTGAATTTTTGGGGATGAAAAAATGGCCATTTTTGCCAACTGTATTTATAGAAAATAGCTAACCTTAATGCTATTTACTATGTCTTCTGTGAACTTATTTCAACTGCTGCCAGTATTTTTCTGTAATTTCGTGAAGTAGCTCCACGAGAAATGGCAAACGGATGGGTTTGGAGTGTCTGTGACATCCCTGAGCACTGCTGGGTCCACTGCCAGCAGCAGCTGGGACACCACCTCATAGGTGGGGTATAATCTATATTATAACATATACAGCAGTCTGGGCTGGTGGGGGATGTCCCTACATGGCAAGGGTTGTACTGAAGGAACTTTAAGTTCCCTTCCAACTCATTTGATGATTCAATACAGAACAAATCCCAGTTGTTCACAGTGGTGTCAAATGGATCATTACAAATTCTGGTGGTAAAACACACAAATGTCCACATACAAGTTAAAGTCACTCTTTTGGGGGTAAGCTCGATTTTCTGCAGACAGATGCTACATTTGGATAAGTAAAGGCCAAAGCGCACCTCCCACCTGTTCTGCCCCCTGATGCCATCCAACTCTCAACACCACAGCACACCAGTAACAGATCAGCCTGAATGTCTCTTTTCTAATTTGCCTTGGCAGCAAACATCGGCTTTACCAACCCACCACAGTAAACAATTCGAACTTCTCTCATAAATCAAAGAGGAGACTAATTACCCTGGCATGCCCAGTGCAATCAAGGGAATTAGTTTCCTGGCATTGCCTGCTGAGGAACAGCGGCTCCCCCAGGACCTCCCATCATTTCCCAGTCACCCAGAGAACATGGTTTGCACATCCCAGTGTGGCCACAGACAGAAATGGGTCACCCCAAAAAACTCCTTTCCATGGCTGTATGCAACATTTTGCCAAACCCATGGGATTTTTACCCGGGATTTGTGTAGAATACAGATCCAGCACCCTTGCTACTGGCTGCTTTGTGGGTCTGGGACCCACTCGCACAGGGGGTGTCAGCCCCAGGGTGCTCCTGGGGGACTTTGGGGACTGCTCCAGTTCCCATTGAGAGCCAGCCCAGGTTGGGACGAGGTCACAGCTGACACTGGTGATCCTTAATGGGACAGAAATGTGCCTTTATGTGTCCTGCATGTAAAATCCTGCACAAGGTATAATTACGGTGGTGGTCACTGCATCTGTTACCTGACCCTCACCAACCCCCTGGAGAGAGACAGTTAGGGCAAAACACACTTGTCCGTATAGGAAAATGTATGAGCTCTCCCTCTTCTCCAATAAGAACGCATACAAAATAGTAGTAATGATAGTAGTAATAATAATAGTAATAATAGTGAAACAGTAAAATAAATAGTAAAATAAATAGTAATAACAGTAATAGTAATAATAGTAATAGTAATAGTAGTAATAGTAATAATAATAGAGCAGCTATGTAAGGAAGCTGCCAGCAACCCACATGCAATGAAACCCCAATGTGGCAAACCACGATTGCTACAGATCGGCAATAAACCTGCATGCAATGCACACACAGCCGGACAAGGACAATGCTTGCTTATTATAGCAAAAAAACAACCCCAAGAGATTGTTGCTGCACAGTAGTGTGGTGGATAAGGCTTTCTGTGTGCCACATGCTCAGGCACACTTTTTGAGAAAAGCCAGAATATTCTTTTGATGCATTTTGGGCACAGACAGACCACCCCTCCCCACCCATATACCTTCAATGATGTGCTTCCGCGATAGCCCCCTCTCTGTCTCAGCCCTGCAAAGGACAGAGATACGTGTTAGAGGACCGAGGCACTAATTACTTATTCTGGGTTAAACCCCCCAAAAATGAAGTTACAACTTATATGGCAGAGTGACCCTGAACCTCCTTTGGGGTCCTGGTCTCAAAGACAACAAACAGCTTCTGGGATGAATGATACCACTCTTCATTTAACACGGTGACAGCTTTGCTATGGGTATTGCCTCACCCTAGAGCTACTGGCTGAGGTTTTTAAGGGGAGGGATAAGGATGCTGGCAGGGCAGTGGACTGCCATTAATTTCCACCACATTGTATGGCCATGAAAAGGAAAAGCACATAGCAGCAAACACCGTTACGAGTGACTGAGACACTCACTTTCCACCCCAGTACAGCTTTGTGGTTATGACCAGGCTGGACCTCCTGCAAACAGAAAAGAGCAATTATTAGTGCTAAAAAAACCCAATAATATAAGTAACCAAGCAGGACTATGGCCACCAATGAGCAGCAGCTCACTGGCTTCGTGCAGCAGCAGTGCCGGGTGTTTGCACATTGCTACAGTCATTTTTACAATACATGGGCATCCAGAAAGCAAAGCAAATTCAAGTGAAGTGACCAAAAAAAGAGATACATTTTTAATTATGGAGTAAGCAATCTCCAGAGCCCTTAACCAAGTGTAATTCCTGCCCGGTAGCTGAGTCCAGTGCTTCTCATTATCTTGCAATATTCCCAGAGCTATTAAAACTGCAAGAGCAATACATTCACTGAATTAATCTACAAATTCCCGTGTGATATTAAATCAAAGATTTATCATTTGCGAACTACCTTGCTGCATGACTGTACAGCACACAATTTCTCCAGCTTTTGCAAGATTTAACTTTTTTCCTTCCACAGCATGCAGAGTATTTCCCACCAAGCAATCATCCCCTACCGCAGGGGATACTGGTTTTGGGGACACCTTTGCTGGGACCCATCCTTCAGCTGGAGGCTGAATACGACACACACAGGAGGTCTTTAAAGATTATGCAAATGCTCTTAAAACTACCTCACGTATGCTAATGCACATCATTTAAATGAGGTATCGTCTCCTACCAGGTTACCCAAGCTGAAGGCCCATCACAGCTTTGCATTATTAATGCACAGATAAGGACGCACAAATCCTCTGTCTCCCCACACCGCAGTGATGGATGCACTCAGAAGTTGTTAACTGTACCATGCACGGAGACAGCGGACTCGGGCAACAGCTGGGCAGTGCTGCAGGGTGATGAGCGCAGCCACATGGACTTGGTGTGCACTCCCAAAAATCCAGGGGAGCATTTTTATTTGACATTTGAATGGCCCGGCTGCTCTGTGTGCAACCATTGCATGTGCAAGCTCCTGCTCCTGGGCCAGCATCACCTAATACACATTATTTATAAAAAAAGACCAGATGGATTCGTGTGTGACCCATTTGATGGGGGATGATGGGGGCTACCAGCCAGTGGTACCCTACCTCCAGCCCTTCTTCTTCAGGATGTTCCCCAGGATCACCTCAGCCCTGCAAGAGAGAGAGCCACATGTTAGGGGAGGTGGGAGGATGCTCAGCACCCAGTGAACCATGGTGGCTTCCATCTACCTCAAATTCCCTGGATGGTGCCACCCAGACACTGACCTGCAGCACTGCAGCTGTCCCCTTCCCAGGTACAAAGGTCCTCGCTCCACTGGGTGGTGGACCTGCACCCCATGTCAGCTTGGGCCTGCTCTGAGGCAAAGCCACGTCATACCCACACCGGGGACATTATGGCCCAGTCCACCTTTTACACTAAATACAATCAAAGTCAAATATATCATGGATGGGTATTTTTTTTCCCCCCAATCCCACAGCAACATAGAGCAGTTCCCTGCTCCGGGAGCCATCACCAGTCCATCACCAGTCATCCATCACAAGTCATCCATCACCATTAAGATGTGCCCTGACTTTTCATTTATTCAGGACATTTTTCTCCTTGTGCCAGTGGCAAGTGGCACAAGTGATACATTTCCCTGGTTCAGGGTTGGGTTTGATTTTTTTAGGTTTTTTTTTTTAAAGAGTGCTCCAAAAATAAAGGTTTTTCTGTGGTCCCTCAGGGAGAAGGGAGATACCCAAGCACCACCAGAGCCCCATCCCTCATGAGTGACCATGAGCCAGGGACATGGAGAAGATGCTGGGCACTCACTTGCCAGCTGCATACACCTCAGCTGTGTCGAACAGGTTGACACCGCTCTCGTAGGCAATGGTCATCAGCTGCTCAGCCACCTTGGAGAAGCAGAGAATAAGAGTCATTAAGGTTGGAAAAGATCTCTAAGATCATCAAGTCCAATCATCAACCCAACCCCACCATGCCCACCAAACCATGTCCCCAAGTGCTACATCCATGTTTTTTGAACACCCCCAGGGATGGTGACTCCACCACTGCCCTGGGTGGCATGAAGCGGACTCGGTGAGCAGAAGAAATACCACCAAACACAAGTGACTTAAAAAGCAATAAACCTTTGAGTTGAGCCTCCTGGGCAGTTTTCCTTCTGCAAAAGGAAATATTTTGGGGTTTCTGCTGGGTACCAGGAAGGCTCTTGGGAGGATGCTCTCCTTTCGATGACCAGCATCCACAGCGTGAGACCAAGGGAAAGCCATGTGCTTAACCGAGGTGAAGAGTGGCAGCGTGTAGGAAACTAAGCTTGTTTTCAGTTGTTTCATCTTTTTATGTAAAAAAAAAAATCATCAGGCAGCTCCTAGTGAGCTGAACCTCTGCCTGTGTTTATGACTGATGCCAATTACATGCATGATGCAAAAATAATTCCCAATTTCTGCTCCAGGAAGGGCATTGTTGCTGGGGGTAAGGAGAAAATATCACTGCAAACAGCATGGAAAAGATGGTCACGATAAGGGATAGACAAGGGGATTTTAATAAAGTTGATCTCTGGAAATGTCAGATTCATGAAGGTTTTATGTAGCAGAAGCGCAAGCTTTGCTCATATAGAAATGGGCTTCTCTGATTTCAGTAGCCTTGGTTTCATTTAAAAATATCTCGCATTGGGTTTCTAATTCACACATTACACTTACATCAAGTATCACTACTTACCTCGTCTGAGATCTGCCCCCCGAAAGTCACCCATGTCCCTAGAGAGAACAAAAGAATCTGTTACTACAAGGGGGTTTTGGTGTCAAAAGTATGCTTTTTGGAAAACAAAGAAGTATTTCTATTGATAAAGTATTTAAAACCCATCCAAACTAACATTTTCCCAGGAACTTTTCCATAAAGCTGATGTCCACCATCAGCAGCAGCCAGCTTAAAAAGTAGCTGCAGTCTGGGCTCCATTGCAGCCCCTGGTCCATTATTAGGAAAAACTTGAGTTATAACTTCTTTATGAATAAATAAAGAAATAATTTCCTAGATATATCTTATATGCATATATTTTTAATATGTTTGTATTTCTATTTATATATTAGGAATATGTATTTCCTTAGCTACTAGAAGCAAGGGGTCGGGATCTGGGGCTGCTAAGGGGTAAAAATCCATGCTCCCATCCTGCTCATGCCTGTAGAGGACATGGTGGAATGGATACATCAGCGCGCTCACTTCTTCATTAAAAATGGATGGGCTGGCTGGGAGCATTGGAGATGAACTCTGAGCAGAGTCAGAAAGCAAAGAGCGGCTTTGATCAGTCCCTGGTTGGGAACAAAGCAAAAGTCAGCTCCGTTCAGAGAATCTTGCCTGCTTTCCCTCAAAAAAAGGTCAACCTGAACTTTTTTTTTTTTAAATACATCAGGTTTCTTTGCATTCAAATAAACTTATTTTTAAAGATGTGTGTGCTGTGTATTTGAACTGAAACTCTTGACCTCCTGTGGAATAACCCAAGCTCTAGAAAAGCCAAGTTTTTGCAGCTCAGAAATGCGTAACAAAGTTAACGTTGCTGAAATAAAGTATGAACAGAGAACACACATATTTTGACTAATTTTGCACTTAATTCTGCTCTCCCTAAGGGCACTAATCCACCCCACCTGGCTGGTTATAGACCTCAGGAAAGGTCCTTTCTCTTATCATTGGAGTAAAACACACTGATTCCAAACAGTAAACACAAAAGTAGGTTTCAATTTGTCATTAAGCTCCTTTATGCAGGTGAAAAGAACTCCAGACGAAGCCTGATTTTCACATGCAAGCTTCAGAAGTGTTATTTTTACAGGAATACATTAAAACACATTTCTACTGAAATAAGTGCATTGAGACTGTTTATCTCAAAATGATTTTTTTTTTGTTTAAGTATGCACACTGGTCCCCAGCGCAGGTGGAAAAATAAAATATTTCTTCCCATTGAGAACTGCACATCCCCTCCTGAATTGAGGCAACCACGACCTTAAAGCAGGCAGTGGTGGTGGCACTGGGCACCCACACCTGAAATGGCCAGGGCGGGTGCAGGGGCTGCAGCCCAGCTCAGTGCCCACTGCTCAACCCCAGTGAAAACATTAAAAAACGGAATAAAAATTACTCCAGAAAGCACAAGATGCACTTGGCATTTCAAACAACTGCTGAGGATGATTCACAGCTTCAGTCAATGGGAGTATTTTGGAAGAAAGACAACTATTTTCTTAAAAATAATTACATTTTCCCCTACCAAGTCCCTGTCTTTCTCTTGCCATCCCAATTATTTGGTGAAAAATGCATCCCCCATAACTCAGCATGGCAAAGAGTGTCCCTACTCCTGCCCTCGCCATCGCAACATTCCCTGGCACTGAGAAATAATTTCCCAGCTGGATTTCCTCACTTTCCACTGAGGAATTTCTCTACTAAAACTACATTTGGCTCCATCACCATCGCCTCCCAAGGTGTGAGCATTGTGGGATTATTTGCTGATGCAAAAAATTCATTGCTCAGTAATGTCACCACCAGCAGATGTGTCACCTCTGCAGGGGAAAAAATGAAAATAATAATAATAATAAAAAAAGGGTTTCTGGCTGAAAGCTGAAGCTTTGCTTCCCGCCAGTACAATTTTATCCCTGTTTGCTCCTGGCAGAGCATGGCGCCACAAGGAGAGCTGGCACATGGCGCCAGTCTGGCGCTCAAGTGACCAAATGCTGAGCCCCACTGGCATGCAAATGGGTCACCCATTGTTCTAAGCCAACCAATATTTGGGCCCAAATTTCTCAGTTTCTTACGTGCTGAAAAGCAAAAGCTTTTCTCCAGAGCAATGCACTGAAGGCAGTGACAGCAGCTGACCCCATTCTGCTCATAAAACATTTGGTTTCGTACCCGAGTGCAGGGCATCCCCGCAGGGGCTGCAGGAGCTGCTCCGTTTGGGAGGTTTCTTCTATGCTTTCGAGTTGTATTTTGGGGTTTGGCCTGGCCAGTTTCACCCCACCGCTCATTTCCTCAGCATCAGAGCTCACCATCTCACTGGAGGCTGTCAAAACACCTTCTAAAAATCAACAGGCAGCCTCCATGGGCAGAATTTGCTCAGAATTAACTAAAAGAAAAACGTGACCTGATTTCTTCCCCCTGCCTCTCAATCACATTTCAGAGCAAAGGCCCAGCATCGGCCCAGAGATTCCTCATTTAACGCCTTCCCCAAAATTGGAGATCAAAGCCCAGCCCAGAGTGGGGCTCAGCACAGAGGAGCTGAGCCCAGCAGAGTGATGCTGGATCCTGTGGGATGCCCAGGACCAGAGGTGATGCTCAGGATCAGGAGCGATGCTTGGCGACCCTTCCCAAACATTTCCTCTCCTGAAACACACCACTAACACACCTGATCTCATGTGCTCACTCCATGCTTATCATTCCACCAGCAGCACCCAGCAAATGAATTAATTAGAGAGTATTAGCCAGGAGGAGCAGGATGTAATTAAAGGGTACACAGAGCCTCGGCACTGCCCACCTTTGATTTTTTTGTTCCACTTCACATTTTTCTCTGCTTACTTTTTCCATACTACAGGACGAAGCATGCTCCCCACCTTGCTGAGGTTTTTGGCAGGCTTCTGAGGAAGATTGCTGAGCCTTCAAAAACCTTAGGAAACCTGAAATTAGATTTTCATGCTGCAGCGGGTTTAGGGAATTACATTTGTCTTTCTGGGAGCTGCAGAAGGGAAGCTATTTAGAAAAGTCCATAAATCCAGCTCCGATTCGGTGCCTCCCCCTGCTCCTTCCTCAGCCCCTGACTCACCCCATGCAGCTGCGCTCACAAAAGCTCAATATATTTAGATGCTGCAGCAGTTCCACATGCTTGAAATTAAAGAAAAGCTTTGCAAAGTAAGGTTTTTTTTCCCTGTTGCTGCTTCCTTCCCATAGCTTTTCCCCACAACGTTAGCTCTCAGGGAGCTCTAAGAAGATGCTCTGCATTCGAACTGAAATTCTTGATTTCCTGTGGAATCACTCAAAATATAGTATCTCTGACTCTTAATAAAATCTCAGCACCAGATAAGACAACAACTCCTTTCAAAGCCTGGATCTATTTTAGCCAGAAGAGCTCTCCTTGGCGGAATAGGCCTTGTTTATATGGCTTGTGATCCAGGGTGACTTTCCCATCTCGCTCTATTTTAACATCAAATCCCAAAGGACATCAGAAAAAATGAGCTGACCTCTCGGGCACCCACCCTGTGAGCCCAACCAGCACTGGTGGGGATGGGGTAGGAGCTGGAAGGGGATGCCCATATATACACACACACTTTTAAGCATTTTTTTACTATATATTTTAAAAATATATACATATACACACACACCTTTAAGCACACATGAGTGGTTCAACTGCCAAGGAAATTACTCACATGAGTAAAGCCATCAGGAGCTGCCAAGCCCATGGCACACAATCCTGCTCAGCAGCAACATACCCAAATCTGCAAGAACCCCAGCAGCACCACAGCACCCGCACTGCTGAGAGATGCCCTTCTTTGATAAAATATTGATAAAATAAAATATTGACAAGATATTCTTTGGTTTGCAAGTCAGTATGGAACAGAAATAACGATGTGTGCACGCTGGATTAAATAAATTAAATAAATGAAATAAAATAAATAAATATCCTGCCCAAAGCCCTGGCAGATTGCTGTCCCCCAGGACCAGAGCCTTAACGATTAAAGCTCTTGGGGCACTCACTGATGTGGTGTCCTCAGGCCGTCCCTCATGGGGATTGGGTCACATGAAAAAGATTTTATGCCATAAACCCTTGTGTAATTCCACTCAAGCACTATGGGTGGAAAGCATTGCCTCACGCCACAGGCAAGAGCTGCTATTAATACATGTCTGGGCTTCTGTAAAGCTGAGCACAGGCCAAGGCTCCAAGACAGCATATTTTTATTTTTAACTGAAATAAAAGAACAGCAGCCAGGATAGTGCACGGGTGCAGTGGCTGCGCAGGTTACTCACCCAGCCCCAGGCACGAGACTCTCAGTCCTGATTTCCCCAGGTTCCTAGAAGGAAAAGAAAATAATTAGAAAATATCACTAAGCCCTCCAGGGACACAACACTCAACCCCATGGGAAACCAGCAGCTGGGGAAAACGAGACCTGGCTTTTGCTCAAATCATCCTATTTTTCCTCCAAAAGGAGGGGATTCCCAGTTTGGGGAAAGGTGCCCCTTTGCTCTGGTGAGGCCTCACTGGGAGTCCTGTGCCTAGCTCTGGGCCCCACCATCAGAGGCCATGGAGATGCTGAGGGGTTGGAGCAGCTCTGCTATGGAAACAGCTGAAAGAGTTGGTGTTGTTCAGCCTGAAGAAGAGAAGGCTCCGGGGGGGACATTATAGCAACCTTCCAGGACCTGAAGGGGCTACAGGAAAGCTGGGGAGGGACTTTTTACATGAGATGGAGTGGTAGGACAAGAGTTGATGGCTTTAAACTGGAAGAGAGTAGAGTTAGATTAGTCGTTAGGAGGAAAATCTTCACTCTGAGGGTGGTGGGACACTGGCACAGGTTGTTCAGTGAAGGCCTCATCCCTGGATACATTCAGGGCCAGGCCTGATGGGGCTTTGGGCAGCCTGGTCTGGTTGGAGATGTCCTTGCTCACTGCAGAGGGGTGGGTCTGTATGACCTTGAAAGGTCCCTTCCCACCCAAACCATCCTATGAGGAGGCTGCCATCATCCTCTGCCTCTGGAGGCTGTGGGAAAAGCCCTGAGGGCTGGCAACAAACCCAAATACATCCAGATGTTGTTCACACCTGGTGCTGTTTGGGGTCCCACAGATGAGTCACACACATGCCCTTCACTTCCATCCCCACTTGAGAATCACTGTATTAACACCAATTGCCTTATTCAGCTTTGCAATTTTTATTCACCTTCACACTTGTCCAAACACTCAGACCCATCACAGCAGACCCCAGTCCAGTCACTGCCAGGTTCCCAAGCTCAGGAGTCCCCCCCAGGCAGATCCCCCCACCATTTACCCA